CACACACACACACACACAAAACAATGAGTAAAAGAAGATGAAAATCCAGACTGAAAAAACAAACAAAAAACACAATGAGTGATTGTATCCAGTGAGGAGCAGAATAATCAGGCTGATTGAATGAACTACAGTATCAGAGTCGGAGAGACATGTTCTCTGTCTGTCCGTGAAGGTACAGTCCACTGCTTTCCTCAGAGGAAGTGCATACTGCACTGCAGTGTCAGTCCACCAGCCCTGGTTCATCCAGTAAAGAGCTAAGGGTAACTTTCACTTCCCTGTAGCCCCCCACAAGTCCCACCGTCAGAGGGGAGAGGTACTGCAGCGGGACAGGATCTACCCACGTCAGAACAGTCCCCATCCTAGAGGTTAAGGGATCACCACACACGGCAGATGTTGTCCGGGACCATGTAGCTGTTCTTGTTGCATTTGAAAGCTTTGGCAAATTCGGCGAAATTCTGAAGGGAGCCCAGTACCCTGTAACACATACAGAGGGTAAAAGATGCTGTATTAGAAGGTTACTTGACATTATAATTCACACAGCATGTATATTATTTATCAAGGTTTTAAAGTGTTACCATTGTCATTTATTTAATGCCCTCCATCATACGTGGCGGATTGATGTAAAGGAAAACATTTTGTTTTACTTTACCTGAATTTCCCTGGACTGTGTACATTTACTTTAATGGAATTAACAGCTTGTTCTGGTCGGTGCGTTCCACACCACACCTGAAAAGACAGACATTAGGATGCAATGTATTTGACCATTATAATTTCTTATCAATGTATGTATCTATCCATTCATCCATCACCTCAATTATACATTTCATCCTCCATCAATAACTGATGCCATCAATTCATCATATCCATAAGCCAATCAATCCAACCATATATCGATCCCTCATACATACATACATACATACATACATACATACATACATCAATCCATCTGTTTATCATGTATTTAATGTACTCAATCGTCCAAAGATCCATCAATCAATAATCAGGATTACCTGAGCAAAGTTTAAGAAGAAGAGTTGATCGTGGGAAAGGCCAATGCCAGGCAGTGATGGCTCCTCTCCATGCTCCTTCACGTAGTTCTTATAGGCCTGCAGTATTGAAACAAATGTTCTTATCTTATTTTACCAACTGTTAGTCGAAAGAATAGTACAACTGTTTTGAAAAAGCTTTCCATCCTGTTGTTTCAATTGTAAATGATGACAGATTTGGTTGTTATTATCCTCATCAAAAGGTATAATTACACAGTAGTTTCACATGCTGGGCTAATTAATGTAACCATAAACACATGTCAGATATCCTGCAGAGCAAGAAACGTCAATAATTATACAGGCATGTTGTCTGTTTGAGACCGGTTTACTAATCAATAACATAAAATCTATACTTTGCCTCAAAGGTTCATGCAATTATAAACGAAACAACATGACATTGCAGAATACATAATTATCTCTTGAAATCAAATCTGTGAATATCCTTTCTCTGTTCACCTCTAGTAAAACGGAGAAAATCAGCAGCAATATCATATCCTTCATTGTTGTATTTACATTAGCTAATGAGCCTGTCAGTGACTTGGCAGAATGACACATCTATTAATGTTAGCAAGCAGACAACATAAAAAGCTGCATACTGAATCCCATCATCTATCATCTTTAAACTAGGGCCATTAAACTGAGTTTCTTCATTTGTTTTCAAGCTCATTACCTGATATGCCTGCCGTATCCCTCCATTGTCAGCGATGTTCTCCCCAAGGGTGTTGTTACCATTTAACTAGAAAGGGGTCATAAGGAGAGAAAACAAAAGGATGGAAGGGAGAAGGACAGAGGGTGATAATGATTTTTCCGATGTATTTCAGCAAATCACAGCTATCACTTTTTTGATCATACAAGAAATCTTTTGTCCCAGGGGATAAAAGAAGCATTGTGCAAAGCAAGCGGACAAAGGGAAGGGGGTGGATATGTCAACACTACATATTAAAGGCACCTGGAGGAGAGAGGACTATAGCTTGCAAAACCGGGGAAAAGATGAAAATGGATAATCTGACAAAGGTATCAGGAAAGTAGATAAATAAGACAAAGATTGAGGTTTGGGATAATACTTAAAAAGTTTTACTGATATAAAAACTTGAGGACAAAGCAAAGCAAGAGATAGAGTCTACCAGGACATACATGAAGTCCATTGGCCAGGTCCCAGGAGAAGTTGCCATACTGATTGACAATGCACTTCGACAGGTCTAGGAACTTCTGAGTGGAGTCAGGTGTCCACCAGTCCTTCAGGTCACCATCCTTATCATAATTACGGCCTTAAAAAGAAGCAAAATGCATGAATGGTTGACTTTCTGGATTAGAAAAATATGACACAAATAACAGCAACACTTCTTTATGCCCAAACTTCAATTTTCCCGTTAGCTGAGACAGCACTGAAGTGGTGCAAGTAATGTCAAAAATATTTTCCAATGCATTTTCATTTGCTTATGTGTGGGTCGGTTGCAGTTGGGGGCATCAGTATCAAACAATACTGACACTGAACCTCATAACTTCAGATTACCCAATGGATATGAACTCAAAGGAAAATGACCTGTCGCACAAAGAAATGACATTTCTGAATTGGTACCAGTTACAAAAGGGGAAATATTTCTCTCAGAATGGTATTGTCTGCCAAAACTGCCTTTGGGGGAAATAGAGAGCAACAGTGTGGAAACTCATACCATTGTCATCAAAGCCATGAGTGATCTCGTGACCAATCACCATGCCGATGCCACCATAGTTGAGAGATTTAGCCTGGCCTTTGCTGAAGAAAGGTGGCTGGAGGATTCCTGCAGGGAAAACTAACAAAAGAGAAAAGCAAAATAAAGTTTTTTCCTAGAATACTTAACAAAATGTTGAATGATTACACAAGTTTGCATGTGCATATACCTATTTGGTTTTTGCTGGATGAGTAGAAGGCGTTGACAACAGCAGCTCCAGTTACCCACCTGCAGAAGGAAAGGAGGGTGAAATTAAAGAATGATACTGTGATGAGCCCGGTAGTGCAGCAAGATTCAGAGTTGATGAAAGGTATTACAATTAACCTAACAGAGAGCTAATATTAGCATTCCTGTTGTGCTCAGTGAAAGGCTGAACTGTATGTATGAGTAGGAGTTTGTGTGGGAGAATGTGAATGCACTGTGCTAAATGCAAGATTTAGTCTTACCTCACACAAATACATATTTTATTACTAGTGATGTAAACACTTAACATTGTCACTTTCATTTACTATGCAATTGAAATAATCCTGTTAGCATAGCAATGTTCTAATCAGGCCCCAATAATTACATCAGTTAACTCTTACTCATCTTTGTTGACTTTGACTCTGAGTTTCCGCAGGCGTTTCTTCTGTGCATACTCCAGGTTCTGCAGGATGTTTTCAAAGTACTCCTCTGTACTGTAGCTCAGCTAACACCAACACACAGCCAAAGAAACCAGAGGATTAGCCATGATGAGAGCTATCAACACTTGGTCATATTCTCCAGAAAATCTCAGAAAAGGCAGGAATTTACAGAGATGTTTTCATAGCACTGATATGAATGTATTCGGTTACACTTATTCCGAGAAAGAAAAAAAAACATTAAAAATGGCAACTCTTCAGACACTTACATCTTTGTATTCATTGTTAAGATATGCGTCATCCCTGATGTCGTCAGAATAGCCAATCCGTTCCCGAATAGCACGGGCCTATAGAAAAGTAGATGAGAACAAAATGGGAAAACAAAGTCTTTGTCACAAAACCCTGCAACTTTGGGCCACATGTTATCGGCATATTAAACACTGAATCATTTCTTAAATCCTTTTTAACAAGCAGAAGGGAATCTATCCTTCTAAAAACGTAATGTTATGTGCGTTTTCCTCCGCCTGCAAAGCCATTCTTGTCAAAATGAAATGATGATCTCATATGCAGTCTATTTATGTACTTTTGTTTTTGTCTTCTGTTTGTTATATAATATATATATATATATATATATATATATATATATATA